ATTTTTTTAAAAAGTGGTTTTGGGGGCACCTGGGTGGCTCAGGTTACATATCCTACTTTGGCTCAGGTCACGATCTCATGGTGCGTGGGTTCGAGCCCCGCATCAGGCCCTGTGCTGACAGCTTGGAACCTAGAGCCCGCTTGAGATTCTGTGTCTTTCTCTCTGCCCCTCTCCCACTCGCACTCTGTCTCTCTCACTCTCAAAAATAAATAAGCATTTAAACAAACTTTTTTTTAAAAAAGTGGTTTTCATAAAATGTCATCTGATTTAGGGTGTTTCTGCTGGCTTCACAGAAACAGGTTCTTTGCTTAAGGGTTCGAGGAAGTCGATTGGGGGATTTTGACAATGACGAGTGCTTATGGAGTGCCTGCTGTATACCAGGCTGCGTGTCCCCATGTGCTAGCTCATTTAAACCTCACTGCTTCCCAGGGTGGCAGAGGGACCAGAGCGGGTTTGAATGGGTCAGTGGCCTGTTAGGAGCTGAAGAACATGGCACGAAGGCTTCCATATTTTAGGCCTTGTTTGCCAAGGAGACGTGCTAGATCAGAGGATCCCCCTCCAAGCCGCACAGAGTGACCGAAGCCAACAGACCAGGGTGGTATGTTTGTGGAGCGTATGAGGGACGTATTCAGCCACTCCGGACGTGTTTCACACTCATTAATGCTGAGTCTCCACCAGTTTTGTTTAGTTTCTCAGTCTTTGCAATCCTGGAAGAACGTTTTCTACTTGGATACAGTGGTCTGGCCCAGGGTCACATTCTGTGTTACTTAACAGTTGTGCTTCTCTCTCGGGTTATTCCAGACTTTTCTACCCCTGAGCCCCTAGTTTTTATCAAATTCATGGGAAAGAGATCCCACCAGCGGAGTTCAAAACAATCTCCAGGCAGCATCTAAGCAGATTTTAGGAAAATCTGAAACAAGGAGACTTATCAGGGAATAGCTGGTATCCTAAAGGTTCTCCTCAGAAACATTTGGGTGTTTTAGGGGCGCCTGGGTGGCTCAGTCGGTTGAGCGTCCTACTTCGGCTCGAGTCAGGATCTCGTGGTTCGTGGGTTCGAGCTCCGCGTCGGGCTCTGTGCTGACAGCTCAGAGCCTGGAGCCTGTTCGGGATTTGGTGTCTCCCTCTCTCTCTGCCCCTCCCCCACTGGCGCTATATGTCTCTCTCTGTCTCACAAAAACAAATAAAGGTTAAAAAAGGTTTTTTTTTTAATTTTGTTTTAATTTTTAATTACACTGTATGTGAATCCTTTCTCTTTCAAAACATTTTAGAATATTGTAGCTCATGTTAAAATTTACTTTCATTCTTACCTTTAATTCCTGTCCCCTCCTCTCTGCCTTCCAGAAGTAATTAACTGTTAGGATTCTGGTACATCCTTTCAGATATTTATAAATATAGAAGTGCCTATGGAAAATATTCAGTAGCATTTTATGTGTTTCTAGTAAATGCTAATAACTAATGCAGTATATAACTTTCAGAAAACTGTTGCTTTCACTCAGTATTATGGGGGGGGGCGTGTCCATGTTAATATGCAGAGATGTGGTTCATTTCTTTCCATTGAATTTAGTTTTCCACCAAATGAATATACTGCAGCTTATATTTCTAGTAACCTTTGGCCGGACAGCTAAATTGTTCAATCTTTTGCTATTTACAAAACACTGTCTTGTTCATAGGTATGGCCTTTCTCTAGAGTAGACAATGAGAAATAGAATTACTAAGTATGTTCCCTTTTATTTTTTTTTAAGTTCATTTATTTATTTTGAGAGAGAGAGAGCATGTGAGCAGGGGAGGGGCAGAGAGAAAAGGAGAAAGAATCCCAAGCAGGCTCTGCGAGGAACCCCAGCTCACAAACCGAACCCCGAGATCCTGACCTGAACTGAGACCGAGAGTCGGACGCTCAACCGACTGAGCCACCCAGGTGCCCCACGTTCCCTTTTATTTCGTTGTTTTTTTTTTTTTATTAATCCAGGAAATACACGCATATAGTTTAAAACTCATAGTTCTACAAAGAAAAGTGTCATGAGAAGCAGCAGTCCTCAGTGGACCCACCACACCGTTTGTTTCTGCCCAGAGGCCACAACTTTCCACTCTTGCTGATTCTTTTGGTATTTACCTCCAGATTTCTGAGTAGCCTGCTTATGGTACCACTCCTTGATTTTTTTTTTTTTTTCCTGTTTTAGGCATGCTCCCTGGCCTCCCAAGCTAGAAGATGAGAATTGAGCTCTCTTTTCTCGCCCTAGCCCCCATTGCATACATGCAGATTTTCTCTCCACATCCTGCCAGCATCGATAAGACACAATTCCAGCTTTATCGACACTGAGTATTTGCCTTCGTCTAACCATACAAAATACTTTTCACAGACAGACCCTTCCGCATACAATAATTACTTTTCCTGTTTTATGTGCTGGCCTGGGAGTTGACGTTTTTCTACATAAATCCTTTTAGCAGCTGAGTGTGGATGGCAGCTTCTCCCTTCGTGTCTAGCGTGCTGCGGGCGGGTCATCCGTGGTTAGGTGCACAGCCTTGCCAAGAAGGAATGTGCAATTGTGCAGAGGTAAAATGGCTCGGGGATGAGTCATGCGTGGAAGCCCCCCCAGAGTCCTTTCCCGGGTCACAGAACGATTCCCTGCTTTTTGTTTTCCTTATCTTCCCTTCATTTTTTACTGAGCGCTCTACCCCGCCGCCTTCCAGCCAGGACCCAGAGTGCTAAGCTTTGGCTTTGGGGGCCCTGATGAGGTGTTTCACCTAATGGCTGCGTTCCTGGGCTTGATTCTTCACAGTTGTGTGTGTGTGAAGCTGACGTCACCAGCGACATGTTTTTCCCTTTTTCTTTAAGGGTCAAGAAGGGTTTACGTCGTTAATTGTTTATTTTTTATAATAGAGGTCAGACAGCTGCCCGGGGAAAAATGCAAACAGGAAAAGAAGTGTATGGAGTGACAGGCAGCACAAGGTCCCCTGCATGCCTCCTTCAACCCCCGCCCCTCCAAGCCCTCCTCAGAAGCAGTTTTGGTCTGGGGCCACACGACGTGGGTTCAAATCCCCGCACTCCACCAGCTGCCGGGCCTTGAGCAAGTTACCCAACCGTTTGGGGCCTCCGTTTTCTCATCTGTAAAATGGGAAGATAATAATGCTCAACCCCTAAGTCTTTGTGGGAATTAAATGGATTCATTTGTAAAGTGGCACAGAGAAAGCCCTTAATAGATACGAACCAGGAATATCACTAAGTGTTGTAGATCCTTTCAGACCAGTGGTTCTCAACCTTGGCTGCATGTTGAAATCGGGTCGGGAGCTTTAAACATCCCTGATGCCTGGACCCCACCCTCAGAAATTCTGATTTGATTGGTCTGAGGTGGGGCCTTGAGCATCAGGATATTTGAATGCTCTCAATCATGATGGCGTGCAGCCAGAGCTGAGAACCATTGTGCCAAGTATTTTTCATGTGCATCAGTTGGGATGGGTGAGGTTATGCTGCAGTAACAAACATCCCCTGAATCTCGTCTACTTCTCTTTCATGCCCATTCTGATCTGCTGCAGCTCTGACCCACATTATCTTGCCTCTGGAACACTTAGTCTTGTGAACTGGGAAGAGAGAGCCTGACCAACCATGCACTCACTCTGAAAGCTTCTGACCACAGCTGAAGCATGACTTCTGCCGACACAAGTCACATGGCCACATCTAAGTTCAACAGGGAGGGTATATATCAGGGGCCGGCAGACTTTTCCTGCAAAGGGTCAGATAGTAAATATTTCAGTCTCTACAGGACACTGGGGCTGTGTGGCTCCTGCTCACCTCTGCCTTCAAAACACAAAAGCAACCACAGACAATACACTGTTTAAAAATGTAAAAAAAACAAACAAAAAAAAAAGTCAGGGTGCCCGGGTGGCTCAGCCGGTTGAGCATCCGACTTCAGCTCAGGTCATGATCTCACAGTTCGTGAGTTCAAGACCCTCGTCAGGCTCACCACTGTCAGCACGGAGCCTGATTCGGACCCTCTGTCTCCCACTCTCTGCCCCTCCCCCACTTGTTCACGCACATGCGCTCTCTCTCTCTCTCTCTCGAATAAGTAAACATATATATTTTTTTAATGTAAAAAGTCATTCTTAGCTCATAAGCCATACACAAACAGGCAGCAGGCCAGATTGGGCCCGTGGGGGTAGGGTACCAACCCCCAGTGAGGATCCCCCTCTTACAGGGCAAAGCTCCCCAGGAAGGGACCCCAAATATGGGTGATCAGTAATGCAGTCTACCATAGCACGTGCATAGAAAAGAGAGGGAGGGAGAAAGAAGGGACCCTTCATTGCACAGTTGGGTTTCACACATAACGTGGTGCGATCTGCTTTTGTTACTTAATACCTTGGAGGTAGATTCAAGTAATTCTAGCATGACTTCACTTTTTCAATCAAGTGGGCTAGGTTTCCAGGGTATGGATGGACCATAATGGGGTTTAGTTTGTGTGCTCGTCTTTCTTTTTTTTTAAGTTTATTTCTTTATTCTTGAGACAGAGAGAGAGAGAGAGAGAGAGAGCAGGGGAGGGGGAGAGAGAGAGAGCAAGAGAGAATCCTGAACAGGCTCGCGGAGCCCGACGCGGGGCTCCATTGCACAACCCCTGAGATCATGACCTAGAGAAATCAAGAGTCAGACTCTTAACTGACTGAGACACCCAGGGCACCCTGTGTGCTCATTTTTGTAATTAATCCATTTGCTAGATAACAGAGGGACTTCATGTATCGGGAAGAGTAAGACAGCATCCGTAGAGAGGTTGTCATAAAGAGAGAATCGACAGGCCAGCTCTCCCAGTGGGCTTGCATAGTTTACGTTGCTTCTCCTGCAGTCGTCCAGGCCTCCCGGAAAGCAGGAGGGCCGGGAGGGAACCTTTGAAAACACATTGACACAGCCTAGGCCGCGTGTGAGCCCCTCAGAACCGACCTGGGCTGCCTGACAGTGGCGGGATGGGACGGGGGAGGCCCCGCTGGCGTGTGACTCTGTCCTTTCTTTCTACCAGGACACCACGACGTCTGTGCGCATCGGCCTGATGATGGAAGAAATGATCTTCAACCTTGCAGATACCCACCTGTTCTTCAACGACCTGGAGGTTTGGAACCGCCCGTTTTGTGTCGTAGTCGCCGTAGTTGGTGGCCTGTGTCTGGTTTCAGGGGAAGAGATGCTGCGTCTTCTCTTGTCTGTGTTTCCTTTATCCTTTGGAGGCTAGAAGCTTTTGCTGACGACCCCCAAGAAGCCACAAAACAGTGGCCAGCGCCAATTTATTGAAAACACGCTTGACCAGCTGATCTCCCCAGCTCCCCCCTGTGGCTAATGGGCGTCTCTCTGCCCTGGTGGTGACGTCCACGGCCGTTTCGCTGATCTAATAAAGGCTGTGTAGTTTCTTCCTCCCGAAATTTGCTATTTAATAAGTCCGTTAAGGCAAATTAGTACAGATCCTCCTGGGTCAGTAATAAGGAGCAGCGGGCCGGCATGGAAGCTTTTAAAACAATTTACATCCCCCTGAAAACGCGTTGTACAAACAGAGTGAGCGCAGACAGAGGGACCGTGTCAGCTCCTGGGCCCCGAAGCCAGTGGCAAAGGACATAGGGAAAAGGGGGAGGACAGCGTCAGAAATAAGTTTGAATCCTTTGTTTATACCCGGCCTGTGGCGGAAAGATTTGAGAAGAACTTCAAATAAAAAAACATATTTAAAATTGAACTATTAAAGCAAAGGCAGAGCAATAGAAAGCTAAGGCTAAGGCACTTGTGCAAAAATATCTGGCTGAGGCCACCACCTGCAATTAAGTTCAGAGGTTGATCTCTGAGCTTCCTGGTAGCCAAAGCAAGGAGGGAAAGGCGATGCATTCCTTAGCTCTGATGAAAAAGCAAGCAGCCTTCACCAAGGTGAAGAAGGGTTCTTTGGGTTGGTAAGAGGATTAATGTGGGGACCTTCTGGCTCGGTAAATTGTATTTGCATGATTGGTTTAACAGATTGAAAAAGGAAGGGAACCCAAAATTATACTGCGTGTGAAAGAACACTCCTATTTATCTTAGCCGGGCTATTTTTTTCCTGGAATCAAAACGCCCTGGGACTAGCCTGTGAAGCAGGCCTATGAAGGCTATGAATTCCAGAACTGTCCTGGTGGGCCCAGAGCATGGATCCTATTTACCATCAGGAAAGGATACAGGTTTTCCTTTCTGGTCTGCAGCCCTGGATTCCCAGAGGAGGAAATCCTTGCCGAACTGAACAATCTTGTGTTCCGTGCAGCCTAGGCAAGCCATTTGGGCCTCAGCCTTCCCATCTGTGAAACGGAATTGATGTTCTCTGTCCAACATCTATTTTAAAGAGAGGGTCTGTGTAGAAACTCATCGACGCATTGATGACAAAAGAGAACACTGGCACAGTGGGGAGTCTGTGAGCCATCAGACCCAGGACTGTCCCTTTAGCCAGATGCAACGTGCAGGCTCCCTTTACAATGACCTTGTAAAGTGTCATTGGGGAAAAGAGGGAGCAGGGAGGGGGAGAGGGAGAGAATAAATGAGCAAAACAACAAAACAGACGTGGTAATTGAATTCAGCAAGGATTTATGGAGCCTAAGAGCGGGCTGCCTGCAAATAGCGAAACCTGATTGGTTTTAGCAAAAGAGAAAAGGAATTTATTGGCTCTTGTACTTGGAAAGTCAAGGGTAGATTTGGTCTCTCACAATCGCCTCCTTAGAATGTTGGTTCCATGAGGGCAGGAACCACCGCTGTATCACCTTCAGTCCCCAGAGCTTCAGCAGTAAACAACCAAACAAATCCATCCGTGAGAAAGTTCACTTAATGAAAAGGGTGTAAAGAAAAGAATGAGATATGATAGTGGGTGATGGGCGACAGGCGGGTAGGGTTGGGGGGCAGCATTCTCGGGGGGAGCCAGGGAAGGCTTCTCGGGAGGCGACGCTTGAGTCAAGGCCTGAGTGGCGGCAGAAGCCAGCCAGGCGGAGATGTAGGGAGGTGGGACCAGCACATGCAAAGGCCCTGGGGTGGGAAGTGGTATGAAGGCCACAGTGACCACGCGTAGAAGTGAAGGCGTGGGGGCAACTGGGATGGATGAGTCTGGAGGTGGAGTTCTGGGCCAGACACAGGTCCTGGACATCAGAGTTTATTCCAGGTGCTGTGGACAGCCATGGAGCCCGAGAGCAGTAAACAGGAAAGGCTGCCTGATCTAGCTTATGTTTTAAAAGAATTACTCTGGCCGCTGCGTGGAGAATGGGCAAGAGGAGGGAAACAGTGGAGGCTGGGAGACCAGCCAAGAGATTACTGCAGTTGTCCGAGCAAGAGAAGAAAGATGGGCGGGACCGAGGCGGTAGGAGATGGGCCTGGGGATGGCGGTAAAGCCAAGAGAGCTCCTGATGGGTTGGATGTGGGGGGTGGAGAGAGAGGAGTCAGGGGTGAGGGTCCTGGGCTTGGCCTGACCAGGGCAACAGTGCCACTCTCTGAGATGGACAGTGTGGTGGGCACGCGGGGTTTGAGGCGTCTGTGACACCCCAGGGAACATACCAGACCGACCGGCAGATACAGGAGTTTGAATTAATACCAGACACACAGTAGGGGCTTTCTCAGCATCGGTTGAACCGGAGGCTCAGAGCCGGGCATTATGCTGGACTGACGTGTGTGTGTTTCGAGGCAATGTCTTCAGCCTTCCCCCTCTGCCGTTCCTCCTTGGCCCCGGAGTGGAAGTCACACCTCTTGGCGAACGGATTTCATGGCCAACTGGAGCTCCTAGGGAAGCCAGTTTGGTTTTCTTCTCTGAATTTTTTTCAAACCTGTCCCCAGTGCAATGAGGCCCCCAGGGCACCTCGGCAGAATTGCAACCATGCTACCCGATGGAGAAGTTGAGACTCACAAGAGCGCAAACAGCTCGCTTGCTGGTGCGGGGAGCCCTGTGTCAGAATCCGGGGGGAGGGCAGCCTCCCAGGGCTCCCCGAGGAGGCTGATGGGACTCGGGAGAGGTGCTTGGTGCCAGTGCCCGCCTGGACGGTGGGGTTTAGAAGACAGAGTGCAGAAGACCCCTTTCCACTCTGAGCTTGCAATGCCGTCTGTAAATCGGGGTTGGCTCTCGTGCGCGGCTGCGGTTTAAGGGAAAGCTGCCGTTTGCCGGGCCCTCCTCTAAGTGCTGTGGATCCAGCGGCAAACGCAACAAGATCCCCGCCCTCGAAGCATGGACCTTCCAGTGCGGGACGCGCAATATAAACAACTGAATATGTACCGTCAGACGAAGGGCCCCCGCCGGAGACCAGCAGAGTCAGGGAGGAAAGGAGATGGTCCCGGGGCTGTGACTTCACTTGATGCAAGCAGGCCAGGCTTCTCTCCCGCTTGAGCAGACACCTGAACGAGGTGAGGGAGCCGTGTGGGTGTCCCGGCAGGGAGTGTGCTGGGCAGAGCGAACAGCAGGGCAGAGGCCTTGAGGCCTGGCCAAAGTTGGCAGGTTCCTGAAACAGGGAGGCTGGAGCGTCAGCAGGGAAGAATACGGTGGGCGGGGGGGGCCAAGGTGGGTGCAGATCCCACGGGGGTCCGGGCCATCCTGAGGCATTGGGCGATATTCTCAGGGTGACTGGAAGCCCCTGGAGGGTTTCGAGCAGGAGACCTCCACCATCAGAGGCTCCCTCTGGCTGCCGGGGGAAAGCAGGTGCCCGGACCCCCGTGTGAACGCACTCGACGGGAAGAATCGGAGGCGTAGGGGGACCGGCAGACACACAGTAGGTGTCAAGTTCAGCTGCAGCTCAGGCTAGCCAGGGTACGCGTCCCGAGTCTAGGGCGAGCACCTGCTAATCAGCCCCGTCTGCCTTTGAGCCTGGCCCCACCAGTCCCTGGCTGTGTGCCCCGGGCAGGTTTTTCTCCCTCTCCTTTGGCCTCGGTCACCTCATCTGCTAAATGGGTAGAAGGGAAGCCCCTGCCTTCCAGGCTGTAATGATGATGGGAGATAGATGGAAGCCGTCCGCACGGAGCCCAGCACGCTGTACATGAGCCGTAAATGGGCCTCTGCCCTGCGTGTGCCACTGGGATTGGCGGGGGGGGGCATGGTGCGAGGGCAATTTAAATAGTCATTTACGCTACTGTGAGCTAGAAGAATACAGCTAGCTCGCCCAACTCTGGATTTTACAATGATTCAGAAACGGTACGCGCGATACAGAGATAGCTGGAGCCTGGGCGCAAATACCCACAAGTACCTCCCGCCTCTCTTGCGGCCACCTCGCCTTGGAGCAGGAGCTGCTCGCGGTGCAGTAAAATCCAGGGAAGGGACCCCCGTCCAAAATGTTAGCTGGGTCGCCGTGCAGAGTGTGGGCTTGATTGACGCCCGTGTGATTAGGGCTCAAGAGCCGTGGCGACCATCCTCAGGATGCACTGAACTGCGCTCACCCTGAAAGCCCTTTCGTGGGGAGCCTCCCGAGCTGCCGCTTCCTAGAGGGGTGCATGAGTCACGGCCAAAGCAGGTGCTGGACCCAGCCCTGCGGCCTCCATCCCAGCTGAGCAGAGAGCTCAGGAGCACGGCCCTCTTGGGTTTGACGTGCAGGCTCAGGCTGCAGGGGAGGAGATGCCAGTTAACGTGGCCCCAGTATGAAAAACACATGACAGACCCGAACTAGACAAAGTACTGTCCTTACTTCTTCCGGCCTTCCCTCTTTGCCTGCTTCCTCCCTCCCCTGCTGCAATCGTAGCTTGCATTCTCTCTCTTCTCTCTCTTTCTCTCTCCTCCCCCGCCACAGAACCATCTGTTCTTTCCTTTACTTCTCTCCCACCCCCTTCTTTTTTTCTTCCTTCCATTCTTTGTTCCTTTACCCATCCTCTGATCTCTCCCTCTCTCCGTCCATCCACCTGTATTTCCAGCCTATCATTTTCATCCACCTGGCCCTTCTCCCTTCCATCCATCAGTCCACTCCCCCCAACTCATTCACCCAACTATCCGTTCTTCCATCTTCCCGTCCATGTATTTTCCATCTTCCTTCTTTCCACTTATTCCCTAACTTCCCTCCATCTGTCTTTCTTCCCTTCCTGTCTTCTGTCCATCCACATAGCCTTCCTTCTTCCTCCCTTCCTTCCACCTTGTATTCCTCCCATTAACATCTACTG